TGCCGTGAAGTGACTGTGTCTCTATGTTAAAAAAGAGGTTTTGCTGTGAAGTGTCTGTGTCTCTCTGTTAAAAAAGAGGTTTTGCCATGAAGCGACTGTGTCTCTATGTTAAAAAAGAGGTTTTGCTGTGAAGTGTCTGTGTCTCTTTGTTAAAAAAGAGGTTTTGCCATGAAGACTGTGTCTCTATGTTAAAAAAGAGGTTTTGCCGTGAAGTGTCTGTGTCTCTATGTTAAAAAAGAGGTTTTGCCATGAAGTGACTGTGTCTTTATGTTCTCTACCACTTTCATAGCATGTTTACATCCTAAATTTTCTTCCTTAGTAACAGTCAGGCTGCAAGCAAGCTACCAGTTTCATAATATGATTATCATCTATTCAGAAATGCAAAGAAGATGAGAAGTGGGATATTCAGCAAGATGGATTTGCTGCATTAATGAAAGTTGAAAGGGTTGAAACGAAAATTGTTGCCAAGTACGTAGCAATTTCACTTATTCTTCAGTTAAAGAATGAAAAACATGTAATTGTTTTGCATCATGGTGTTTACTGCTTCAGAATAGCGAAAAGAAAAAAGATCGCATTCACTTTCTATGGAAGTACTATTGTAATATTGCTTTGAACAGCATATTTAATTATGCAACGATCTAACTGAATTTCAAACTTACTGAAAAATTGAACTTCTGTGAATAAGCTCACACTCAACTCTCATTCCACTGAAAGTTATGTAGCCAGCCAAATTGCAACTTTGGTCATGTTTTGTAACTTCGCATCAATATCATAATCTGTTTCTTTAGAAAAAAAAAACTTTCGATTTGCCCGAGACTGGTGCGAGCGCGCTTACCGACGAGTATTTAACAAAATCGGATAACTTGAAGTAATGCGGTATTCTCACGATCAAACATTGACTAAGTTGAGGGAAGCTTAGTACTTTCCCCGTGTTTCAAAAAAAATTCATTAAACTACGGTGAAGTAAACATTAAAAATGGCTCTTGAAAATACGGTCCAATTATGCGAGAAATACGAAGCAGTTATGGTTCTCTCAGTGGAGTTGGGGATGCTCTAGGTTATAAGAATGGTTTGTGGGAATTCTGTTACAGTGGTACTCAAATTCATGAAGAACTAGAAAAACTCGGAGGACTTGATAAAATTGACATTAAAGGATGGAGGGTTAGTGACGACACTGTACTACATATTGCTACAGCAGAAGCGTTGGTTTCTGAATGGACAACAACGGAAGAGTTATTAAGCATTATGGCTACAAAGTACAAGAAGACATGTGCTGAGGATATGTGGGAAAGAGCTCCTGGGCAGACCACAACAAAGGCATGTTTCATGTTACGACCTCTTGAGAAAAAAGGTTACATTATACCATTTAATGAACGAGGTGGAGGATGTGGTGCAGCTATGAGATCCATGTGTATAGGTTTGATGTTTCCTTGTGAAGATCAAATTGAAATGTTAATTGAAATTGCTGTTGAAAGTGGAAGGATGACTCATAATCACCCCACAGGTATTCACCTTTCATAATAAAGCAAAGATTTCAGATCATGTATCAATTATCAAATCACTAATGTCTAGTGTTTTGTCTATCAACAAGTGTTGCTTTGTATAAAGTTTGCTAGGTTTTCCTGTTATCTGCATTGCTTTTCATTTTAACAAACCTTTATAGTAATTTAGCTTTTCAATCCTTTTGTTTTTCTTAGATGTTTTATCTTCAACTCTTCCTTCGATTACTTACTTGAACAAGCCATTACAATGAATATTTCATATCCTTTTATCTAATATCAATTTATAAATGAAATGAAAAAAGGTTGACCTTAGGTTTGCATAAGTCTATGCAATCCATCATTTTCTAGAACCACATCTCAAATGCCTCCATCCTTCTAACATTGCTCACTTTAAATAACCATATCTTTGATCCATCCCTTTTATTGCTTTTCCACATTTCCAAATTTCTGTCTTCTAAAAACTGTTTAAATTGCCATTGCTGTTTTGCTTTAATGTCTTCACTACTACAGCCATTCAATCCATGATCCATATCAAAATGCTGCTATTATGTAAATAGGGTCATCATAATGTAATTGACCTAAAATTAGCAATCTTTAAAGATAATGATTTTAATTATAGGTTATCTTGGGGCTGTTACTGCAGCTTTATTTACAGCCTATGCTATACAGACGATGGCTCCAAAAAAATGGGGAGCAGGACTTTTAAGTGTCTTACCCAAAGTTTGGGAATACATTGAGAAGGTTGGTCGTGATGTAGAAGAAAACAAGAAATCTTGGGGCTACTTTAAAAATAGTTGGGAGTCATAACTTCAACTATGGGGATTAAGAAATGGAACCAGTGAACCAAAGTTTCCAGTGACATATAACATACCTGAACGTGATGCTTTTTATAAAGATGTCAGTTATGCAGGTTGGAGTGGATCCAGTGGTCATGATGCACCAATGATTGCTTACGATGCTTTGATGATGGCAAAAGATTCCTGGTTTCAATTGTGTTCTTGTTCTATGTTTCATGGTGGAGATAGTGACAGCACAGGAATATTGGCTGCAGCATGGTGGGGTGGTATGTATGGTATGAAAGGTGTAACCCTTGGAAATTATAGGAACCTGGAATATGGTCATAGGCTTATGGAGCTGGGTAAAAAATTACTGAATGTATCAAAGAATATGAGCAACTAACAGGATAGTATTTATTTAACAAAATTTATGTCATAAAATTCTGTCATCCAAATATACTTTAGTATGTTTGTCAATCATACAATAAAAATTACTACTTGGTTTTAACATAAAAGCAATTTTCTTTAGAAATAAAGTCTAAAGAAGAATGTCAAATTCAGGGCATGGGCAGTTCTAAGTTCTACTTAGGATGATTCCTGGCTGTAGAGTTTCATAATACATTACACGTAGATTTTTTAAAAGACTTAGCAACATCAACCTGACTAGTTCCTGACGTTTTTTTTCGAATTTCTTTAGCTTTTTCGTGAAGCTCTATAGCTTTGTCGTAGTTTCCAGTTTTAGAATACACAGTACCAAGACTGTTTAAAGACGTAGCGACATCAACATGATTTGGACCTAACGATTGTTTTCGAATTCCGAGAGCTTTTTCGTAAAACTCAATAGCTTTGTCGTAGTTTCCAGTTTTAGAATACACAGTACCAAGATTGTTTAAAGACGTAGCGACATCAACATGATTTGGACCTAACGATTGTTTCTGAATTTCTAGAGCTTTTTCGTGAAGCTCTATAGCTTTGTCGTAGTTTCCAGTTTTAGAATACACAGTACCAAGATTGTTTAAAGACGTAGCGACATCAACATGATTTGGACCTAACGATTGTTTTGAATTTCTAGAGCTTTTTCGTGAAGCTCTATAGCTTTGTCGTAGTTTCCAGTTTTAAAATACACAGTACCAAGATTGTTTAAAGACGTAGCGACATCAACATGATTTGGACCTAACGATTGTTTTTGAATTTCCAGAGCTTTTTCGTTAAACTCTATAGCTTTGTCGTAGTTTCCAGTATAATAATACACATTACCAAGATTGTTTAAAGACGCAGCGACATCAACATGATTTGGACCTAACGATTGTTTTGAATTTCCAGAGCTTTTTCGTTAAACTCTATAGCTTTGTCGTAGTTTCCAGTATAATAATACACATTACCAAGATTGTTTAAAGACGCAGCGACATCAACATGATTTGGACCTAACGATTGTTTTCGAATTCCGAGAGCTTTTTCGTAAAACTCAATAGCTTTGTCGTAGTTTCCAGTTTTAGAATACACAGTACCAAGATTGTTTAAACACGTAGCGACATAACAATGATTTGGACCTAACGATTGTTTCTGAATTTCTAGAGCTTTTTCGTGAAACTCTAGAGCTTTGTCGTAGTTTCCAGTTTTAGAATACACATTACCAAGATTGTTTAAAGATGTAGCAACATCAACATGATTTGGACCTAACGATTGTTTTGAATTTCCAGAGCTTTTCGTGAACTCTATAGCTTTGTCGTAGTTTCCAGTTTTAAAATACACATACCAAGATTGTTTAAAGACGTAGCGACATCAACATGATTTGGACCTAACGATTGTTTTGAATTTCCAGAGCTTTTCGTGAAACTCTATAGCTTTGTCGTAGTTTCCAGTTTCATAATACACATTACCAAGATTGTTTAAAGACGTAGCGACATCAACATGATTTGGACCTAACGATTGTTTTGAATTCCCAGAGCTTTTTCGTAAAACTCTATAGCTTTGTCGTAGTTTCCAGTTTCATAATACACATTACCAAGATTGTTTAAAGACTTAGCGACATCAACATGATTTGGACCTAACGATTGTTTTTGAATTTCTAGAGCTTTTTCGTGAAGCTCTATAGCTTTATCGTAGTTTCCAGTTTTTTGAAACACAATACCAAGATTGTTTAAAGACGTAGCGACATCAACATGATTTGGACCTAACGATTGTTTTTGAATTTCCAGAGCTTTTTCATAAAGCTCTATAGCTTTGTCGTAGTTTCCTGTTTCATGTAACACCTCACCAAGATTGTTTAAAGACGTAGCGACATCAACATGATTTGGACCTAACGATTGTTTTCCAGAGCTTTTTCATGAAACTTTATAGCTTTTCATTTCCAGTTTTTGTAACCATCCAAGATTGTTTAAAGACAGACCATTTTCATGATTTGGACCTAACGATTGTTTTCCAGAGCTTTTCATGAAACTCTATAGCTTTGTCGTAGTTTCCAGTTTTGTACATTACCAAGATTGTTTAAAGACATAGCGACATCAACATGATTTGGACCTAACGATTGTTTTTTAATTTCCAGAGCTTTTTCATGAAGCTCTATAGCTTTGTTGTAGTTTCCTGTTTCATGTAACACCAAACCAAGATTGTTTAAAGACATAGCGACATGAACATGATTTGGACCTAACGATTGTTTTTTAATTTCCAGAGCTTTTTCATGAAATTCTATAGCTTTGTCGTAGTTTCCAGTATCATTATACACATTACCAAGATTGTTTAAAGACATAGCGACATCAACATGATTTGGACCTAACGATTGTTTTTTAATTTCCAGAGCTTTTTCATGAAATTCTATAGCTTTGTCGTAGTTTCCAGTATCATTATACACATTACCAAGATTGTTTAAAGACGCAGCGACATCAACATGATTTGGACCTAACGATTGTTTTTGAATTTCCAGAGCTTTTTCATGATGATTTTTAGCTTTGCTATACTTCCCAGTGTCATAGTATAAAAGACCGAGGATACTAAAATACCAAGATTTATCATAACTAGATTCTTCTGATTTAAATTTATCCAATAGTTCAAGAGCAAGATCGTATTTTCCAAAATGTCTTAATCTGTCAACAAAATATTGGAAAACTTGTAAAGTGTTCATGTTGATTTTTGACTTGTTGGTCTTTAATAATTGAAGAATTTTTTCAAGATGTGGCATTAATTTGATTTCGTCGTCTCTCTCTTTAAACATGTAAAGTGCTTTAGATATTTGATCAACGTTAGTTTCCATTTCATGTTCTTCATTTGAATGTTCAGATTGATAAACAATAATTGCTTTGTGAACAATGCGATGTAGACTAATGTCATTATTTTCTGAATGCAAGAACAATGAGCAGTCCTTTAAACAAAGACATATATCTTCCTTTGAGTGTTTGGGATCAATTTCTTGAACATAAAAAACAATAATGTCTCGTGGTATAGGATCAAACGATATCACGGAAAAAAAGTTAATAACATTTGCCAATATTGAGGATTCTTCAGCATTTTGTCTGACAGCTAAAAGTGAAGCTTGTAACATACTTCTAGGATATACCGAGTTAGATTTAACAAAAGTGGCGTCCATGTTTTCTTGTTCTTCTGAAGATATTTTCTTTAAATATTGTTTCCAAGTAAATGAGCAGTTTGTTTTGTTTACACGACTGACATAATAACCAGCGGCAGCCAAAGCCAGCGGTTGACGATCTAATGCGTGGAATACTTCATTCAACAATTGATCATCATCATTTTCAATAGTGTAATGCTTCAACAGTTGAAAACATTCCCTATCATTCATTCCACTTCTGATAGAAATATGTTTGTTAAACTCATCGTCTAGAGGTACGGCATCTGTGTTCTGGATAGTTACTATGATTTGTCCATTTATCCACATGGGATCACCAACTTGGGGGAGTAATGAAGAAATTTTGCTGAGCTGTGCCACGTTGTCTACAATGATCAACCAATTTTGCCAGAATTTTAATCGTGTGGATACTAACGATCGCAAATTCTTCACTTTGTCTGCGATGGAACAATTTTCATCTTCAAATTTTTTAATCATATACTTGTCACAGTTTAAACGGTATCCAAGTTCACAGTAAGTTTTTAAAAGAGATTCCTCATTTTTTCCATCGAGAGTCATTACAAACGAAGTTCTATTTTTCCAATCACACGATATTTTTTCACAAACCGTTCTTGCAAGTTGTGATTTACCACTGCCAGGATTACCAGTGATGTAAAAATATGTCAGTTTATGATTGTTATCATTGCTTAATTTTTCAAGATCTTTTATAATTTTATCTCGTAATTCCGTGCGTTCAACGAGAAAATGATTAGGTTTTGAAGGAAAAACTTGAAATGAATTAAACTTGTTTCGATTATTTTTTATTTCATTGATTCCATCGAGGGAAAATTTTAAATATTGAAATGATTTTTCAATGATACTGACTATTCCATCAAAATCATCATCTGAGTAATTGCTTTCATACCAATGAGCGTCATTGTTTCTTTCACAACGAAGTGCATGAACAGCATCCTTTGTTTGTTTGTCAAGATGCCTTCCAATTGAATTTGAAAAAATTATTGCATCAAATAATATCGTACAGTCCCACTTACTGGTATCTCCATCTTGATATTTTTGTCGAGTTTTTTGGTCTAACCTTCTTCTTGATTCTAAATTGTAAAATTTGTTACCACTTTTGTTTGTATCATCCCATTCTCCATGTGTTGATTTGTAACGAGAGTTCCATTCTTTGATGAAAAATTGAGCAAGTTCCGTTTGTACCACATTAATTACTCTTCTGATGTAAAATAGATTTCTGTTTTCTCTTGATTCCATCTAAAAAAATTATTGTATCAACAAGACAAGTAAAATCAAGCAATTTCAAAAATTTAATATACAAGATAAATGTATTAGTTATCATGAAAGTCGAGAGTTTTTTACATTTGATGAAATCAAATACATTTACTCATACATACATTTATTTATTTATTCATTTATTGAATCAACTTCGCCTGCATCATGCTATAAATGCAAATGAACATAAGTAACTATTAAATAACGGGATACATGCTACAGCTCTTGTCAATTAAAGCATCTTTAACCCTCTAGAGACCGTTGTTGCTCACAGGTAAAATCACCAATCGAGACGTGTACGAACTTTTAAAAAGGCCAGGCCCTAAAGGGTTAATCCAAACAAATGTCACAAACATTAAAAGTAACACGATATTTACAGGATAGTTCACATTTTTTATCGTCATGAACAGCAAATATGGCTACTCTTTTTAAGGATTGTTTAAAATGTTGTAATAGCCTTTTCTTGAATAGACTAAGGTTGATAATGATGCATTCTAGAGTCTAATGCACGTGTTCAAATATGACTTTTGAAATTTTTTTGTTTTGCAACCATTTGCAACAAATGATAGACGATTTGGATAGCACCCAATCGTATTTTTTGTGGCTACGAAGATTGACAGTTTAATGGTCAAAATTCTTCATCAATTTTAAGACCATGAACTCCTAATATCAGGCAAAAGTTAATGTAGTCAATGTACCACTTTCATTGAGTTTTACTTGAAATGTAAGTTTTTAATAAATGCTGATGAAATAATGCCTTTATTGTTAGGGGTTAGTTATAAGCCGCAGAATTTTTCTTTTTGAGGGTGCTGAAATTATTTTAGGGCAACTATTTAGGGCAATACTCTCAAAGTTTTCATCGTTTTAGCTACAGTTTTATTGCATTTAGAAATACAATTGTACCTCTAATCTGCAAATAAAAGAGCAGGATATATTAATTGTTTCTCAGCTTTTACAAAGGTTTTTCCGTTGCACAAAATGCTAAAAAGCAGAATGTCGCAAGCCATGCAAATTGCACGCTAAGACTTGTAATGATAGGCAAGGGATTCTGATCAACTTGATAAGGGAGAAAAAATTGTTTCCATGTGTGTTTGTGAGGACAAAAATCAGTAGTTAACTGCATGGTCATACTCCTTGCTGTTTCGTGCAAATCCAAAACTTGGACAAACATTGAATGTATAAACAAGCATCATTTTTCTGACGATTTCAAGAAACATAAAATGAAATTTTGTTTTTCAATTTTATAAAATGTTTAACTTGATGAACAGGGATTTTTACCAGTGCGTTGAAGTTATTTTTAAGAACAAAAAGAGACACGACATAATGAGGATAAAGGCCTAATAAGAAGAAAAGGTAAATATAAATGAAGGTTGTCTAACATTTGTCTAAAAAAGAGCTGGCATTCAGTGGACATGATGAATCAAGCTTTAGTTTGAATCAACACATTTATAAAAATTTTCCAAAGTCATTCGTAAAATTGTTTTCTGTTTTTGACTAGCATGCAAGCAACCACTTAGCACGAAAGAACTGATGCAGCTTCTGTTTTCATTATTGTATTACCTGGATTCCTGAATAAGTTGAGTGTCTTTATTGATGAAGCTATTAGATTGATGAGAAAACGGGGGATTTTCAGTTTCTTTTTAATTAATGCGATGATACAGAGCGATTAGTTAAAAGTGGCGTCGGCAAAAAATGGAGGTGATGCATGATTGGACATGCTATCCCCCCTACATAAATTTTTACAGATCCCCCTTTTATCCATAAACAAGTATGCTATTTCACCTCTCCCATACCTTTGAACAGGTTTTGCTTTCCTTTACCATACAGCTTATTGTCAATAGTTAGAAAGTTTGTATATCAATTTAGATATGATTTCTCATGCATGTTTAGTCATACTTAATCGAGATGCTGCTTTAGCTAATTTGTTATGTCGTTAGTGTAGTTCTAAAATATCGCTTAATTTTTCTAAAATTACTTTCTTTCAAAATTAAGACGACCATGTAAACAAAATGATGCTTGCTTTAGTTCTTTACATGTCACATACTCAACAAACGGATGAGAGATTTAATATAAACAACGCGACCACATACATATCAATTAAAAATGGTGATCATATTTCATTCCTTATGGTAACATTAATTTTTTATCCATTTGAGTTTTGTTACGTAAACACATTGAAATAAGGAACGAAGATGAAGAGTGAGTCAGGATCTTCTTCAGTATTATAAAACATTAATGACATCTCTGTAAAACATTCAACTTCTATAGTTAGGTGTACATCACTGACTAAAAACAGTGGTTATTGAAATAAAAATACATGAATAAGAGCCTCATGCAGAGTACATAATAACATTGAAATGAGTCAAATTCCAAAGGACTACTTTAAATAATATAAAGTTTAACAAGTTTAAACTCAGGAATAAAGGATGACCTTTCTAAAGTAGGATTTGAATGCCAATGATTAAGACAAGATTTTTGAAACTTTAAATCGATTTTTTCACTTCAATAATCAAAAATTCCATACGTGTATATTATTGCAAATGTCAGTTTATATTATAAAAAGACCTTTGTTATTGAATAACCCTTTGCAAATTATCAATACATTTACATTATCAACTGCACGCAATTGTAAATATTTATGATCAATAAAAAACACTATACATATAACAGTAAAGGATGCAATGAAAGTAAACTTTATCACTGTTAAACTAACATATGTTCAAAAATATTTTTTTGAAAGCTCTGTGTTGCATGAATCAACATTTCACAAAAAATAGATTCGGCCACGTTCTTCCTCTGCGTGTAAATACATTCTTTATGCGTTTAAATTCTGCTTATTTTTCAAATTTTCTTACTTATAAAAAAATGGCTTGTTGTATACAACTATGAACATAATGCTAAACACACAGAGATTAGTCAAAAGTGGCGTCAGCAAAGAAGTAAGGTGATGCATAATTAAACATGTGCTCCCCCCATACATAAATTTTTAAAAAATTCCCCTTTTTTCCATAGACAAGTATAGTTTATAAAGAAAAATTCAGCGTCCTACATGTAGAAAATATTCTCATGTTATTCTGCCTCCCCCATACTTTTGAACATGTTTTACTGTCTTTACCATGCAGCTTATTGTCAATAGTTTGAAATATGGTGTATCAACTTAAATATGATTTCTCTTGAATGTTTAGTCATACATTATCGAGATGCTTCAGTTGCAACTTTGTTATGTAAAGTTAGTAATATAGTTTCAGAATCTCGCTTTACTTTCGACAAATTACCTTCGTTTTAGAAATAAGACTTCATATATGACGACCGTGTAGACCAAGGGTCTCCAAACTTTACAGCCAGAGGGCCACATGAACTTTCATCCAGCATGTTGAGGGCCAAAGAATATAAAAAATTTCCACGTTATCCTTCAGCTTTTTAAATTTCGCAGTGTGCTTGAAACGGAAGTAGGAAGTTGGGAGAAATATTGATGTAAGCCACTCTTGCTAGTTGGCTTGCGACATAACGTAAACTTTCTGCACAAAATTTATTTTGTTTAATAATATTATTTTTTCTGAAGTGCCTCTGCGGGCCGGATTGAGAAGCCCAACGGGCCGCATCTGGCCCGCGGGCCGTAGTTTGGAGACCACTGGTGTAGACAAAATTATGCGCGCTTTAGTTCTTTACATGTCACATACTTTACAAAGATAAGAGATTTAATATAAAGAACGCGACCACATACATATCAGTTAAAAAATGGTGATCATAATTCATACCTTATTGTTACATCAATCTTTTATCCATGTAAGTTTTGTTACATAAACACATTTAAATAACGAACGAAGATGAAGAGTGAGTCAGGATCTCTTTCATCAAACACTGTTATAAAACATTAATGACGTCTATGTAGAACATTCTAGTTATATAACTAAGTATACATCACTGACTAAAAACAATTGTTATTGAAATAAAAATACATAAATAAGAACCTCATGCAGAGTAAATAATAACATTGAAATGAGTCAAATTCCAAAGGACTACTGTTAACAATATAAAGTTTAACAAGTTTAAACTCAGGAATAAAGGATGACCTTTCTAAAATAGGATTTAATGTGAATGATTAAGACACAATTTTTGAAATTTTAAATCGATTTTTTCACTTCACTAATCAAAAATTCCATACATGTATATTATTGCAAAAGTCAGTTCAAATTATAAAAAGACCTTTGTTATTGAATAACCCATTGTAAGTTATCAATGCATTTTCATTATCAACTGCACGCAATTGTAAATGCTTATGATCAATAAAAAAACACTATACATATAACAGTAAAGGATGCAATGAAAGTAAACCTTAACACTGTTAAACTAACATATGATCAAAAGTATAATTTTGAAAGCTCTGTGTTGCATGAATCAACATTTCACAAAAAATAGATTCGGTCGCCTTCTTCCTCTGTGTGTAAATACATTCTTTCTGTGTTTAACTTTTGCTAATTTTTCAAATTTCCTTACTTATAAAAGAAATGGTTAGTCGTATACAACTATTAACATTTTGCTAGAACCACAGAGATTAGTCAAAAGTTGCGTCACCAAAGAAGGGAGGTGATGCATAATTAGACATGTGCTCTCCCCCCCCCCCACCTTTACATAAATTTTTACAGATCCCCCTTTTTTCCATAGACAAGTATAGTTTATAAAGAAAAATTCAGCGTGCTACATGTAGGAAATGTTCTCATGTTATTCTGCCTCCCCCAATACTTTTAAACAGGTTTTACTGTCTTTACCATGCAGCTTATTGTCAATAGTTAGAAAGTTGGTATATCAATTTAGATATGATTTCTCATGCATGTTTAGTGATACTTTATCTAGATACTGCTTTAGGTAATTTGTTATGTGCTTAGTGTAGTTCTAAAATATCGCCAAATTTTTTAAAATTACTTTCATTTTAAAAATAAAACAACTGTGTGAACCAAATTATGCTTGCTTTAGTTCTTTACATGTCACATACTCAACAAACGGATGAGAGATTTAATATAAACAACGCGACCACAATATTATAAAACATTAATGATATCTCTGTAGAACATTCAAGTTCTATAGCTAGGTGTACATCACCGACTAAAAATAATTGTTATTGAAATAACATTGAGAACTCTGCATTTCCGTTAATCAAAGATGTCTGTTGACCTGTTCGTTTTTGCTCTTTAGTGAAAATGATTTGCTCAAACACCAACTAAAGAAATACGTGGGTGCTATTCAATCGTTGAAAAGAAATGACATTATGGAAGAAGGTTTACTAGAGGGATAGTTTATCTTTAAAATAGATGTAGAAATCTAAGATATTCGATAATCTTTTGTGTAGCTCCAGAAAATGGAAGACTTTCTTCTATCATTCTTTCTCCGGAATCTGACGTCGACGAAGTGAGGTATTTACCGTAAATTTGTAGCAAAAGTGAATCAACGGCGATGAATTTCGTTCCTTTTTCTTGTAGAAAAGAAGAAAACAAAGATTTTGAGCGGAAGTTGATCCAAGTAAGATTTCCATTAATTCATAAAACTTTTACGAAACGAAACATTTGCCTTAAAAGGTCTTCAGGTATCATATGTTGCATGAAGATGAGCCGAAATTTATTTTATAGAAAACTCTTTTATACGATGCACACGATGACTTTAAGAAATATCTAATACAAGAAGATATTTTGACTTTTGAAAACTGAGGATAAATAACTGAAATGAAATCGTGATATATGTTTAAAAAACTCGCCACTCTGACTGATTTCGCGTTTCTTGTTCATCCCTGGGGAATTTCATGGTGATGACGTCATGGCGTAAGTTGTGATGAAATGTTGTTTATCATGTTTAAAGGTCGCTGATATGCATGGCGAACTTATTGAACTCAATGAAAGACTACAAAAAATGTTGAATGTTCGTGAATATCAGCTAAGAATATTAAAAGAAGAGCTTGTTAATCTTAGAGGACCGGTATGTTAAGTAAAGACACATGTGTTCATTATAGTACAAAAGATGTACAATATTGATCGATATGTACAATATGACTTGTTTGGTATGAATATGAAAAGCAGTAAGTATTCTTTTGATTTTCTAAATATTTCTTGATAAAACTACGTATCTTCGTATGTTCTAGCTTCCTCAGGACAATAATCATGATGAATGTTTATATTTGACGGAGTTTGGTCCAAATTTCATGTCTGTCAATACTCGTCCTTTAATTAACATTTGGATTCCATCTGTTTTGTACAAGGAAAGTCTCCAAACATTCATCATTCTTATCAGGTATAATTTTTTCCATATATTTATCTCTAAAAAAAGTAAATAACTCTTGCGATGTGATGTTGATGGTTATCTGGACTAGGTTAGGGATAACTAGGGACTATATTTCAAGATTTATGATCTATATTTGGTATTTTCCTCGTTTCAAATACATAACCCTTAAGAAAAGTGTTTGTGGTCATCGTATTTAAAAGATCATGTCGTAGTTTGAATTTACTGCTCAAATATTTCACTTTTCACATATATGTATGTATAGCATCTGCTCAGTGGTCCAATTATTGTCGTCAATAAAGAATTTAACATTGTTTACTTCACAAGGTTTATATCCGTATCAAAGACGATGAATGGAATGTTTACAAAAGATACTCGGATTTTTATGCCCTACATAAGAAGGTTTTTAATAAACATCAGTATTTTAATTTTTTTAATCATATTGTTTTGCCGTAATGTACAATCCATTCCTTTTCTTTTTTATGCACAGACAAGCAAGCAGTTTAAACCTGTTGCACAATTCACGTTTCCCGCGAAGAAAATTATTGGAAATCGTGACGTCAATTTTGTGGAAACACGTCGAAAACAATTGGAAAATTACTTGAGAAAATTGATCAATTATAGTCTGGGTGCTGTTCCAGAGTTAGGTGAAAATCCTTGCAAGAGTTCTTTGTTCAAATACTTTCCATTTTTCATGTGAGTAAACACGTGATCTCTTTCATGTGAGTAAACACGTGATCTTTTTCATGTGAGTAAACACGTGATCTTTTTCATGTGAGTAAACACATCATCTTTTTCATGTGAGTAAACACTTGATCTTTTTCATGTGAGTAAACACGTGATCTTTTTCATGTGAGTAAACACGTGATCTTTTTCATGTGAGTAAACACGTGATCTTTTTCATGTGATTTAACACGTGATCTTTTTCATGTGATTTAACACGTGATCTTGTATGAGTGTAATTTATTGTTCAATATACAGAATATTAAACGATTTTTCAGTGTTAATGTTTGTAAGGCAAGAATAGACAGAAAAAATTGAAAGTCAAAACAAGAACATAAAGCAATCTAGCGCATGCGCTGATTGGTCTATAGCTGTGTTTTCATTAGCTTGTGCAAACCGATCTGAGCTCAACAAATCAAATCAATCAAAGAGAATTCGCAAATCAAGCATGAATACATTTTAGAGGAAAAATTAAAACGTTTGTTTTAAATTTGTCTATTTCGCATTATTGATATTTTTTTAAGAAGATATTTTCCTGTGTGCACTGGCTTATGCAAACCTCGGAGACGTTTGTGAGAACTCTTGAGCTTGTGCAACACTCTACTTTCGGTTTTGGGCTTGCACTGATCTGCTCTCGAGTTCTTCCAAAGGTCTCCTCGTTTTGCATAAGCCCGTGCAAACACAGTAAAAATCTTTTATTTCGTAATAATACAACACAAAGAACTCAAACTTTGGCTTGTTTTAGAAAGAAAATGAAAATGCTACTACCTATTATTACATGAATAGTTTATCAATTTTTCTCTAAACTTTCAGCAAATATTTTACAGGCAAACTTCAACGGTATCATCTGTTTCAACGAAGACAACGACAAAACAAACTGTTCCTTCTACACATAATGGTTAAAAGGTAAAACTTGTAGGATGTCTGTCGAAAAAAACAGAGCATAGAAATTGTATAAGTTATATTGTATATATATAACATACGTATAGTTCAGTATATATAAATATAATATGTCTATAAAGTAGAAGAATTTCCTGATGCATCAACTTCAAGGACTCTTTATTGTACGTGTTGTATACAGATATAATTTGTCAGTATTTGCTACTATATAATAGTGCATCATACTGGGTTTTAACAAGTTAAAACATAATATTTAACTTGAAATGAAAACAATCGTATATTAAATACATCACACGAAACCTACTATGCTATTAAATGTTGTGCTATCTCAGCACGATTTGATCAATTTACATATCCCGCGTCACCCAGCTCTTGCTGGCGAAAGTTTATACGACTTGACACGTGACCTATTTTGATCAATACGTCATATGACTTTTTGCCGATCTTTCCCGCGCTATGTGTAAAGAGATTTCTTGCTGAAACAATCTTTTTCGTAAGTATTAGGTAAAAAATATCATTTGTAAGTTTCAAAGTATTACAGTGAGTAATATAACCTTTTTATTTCAAAGAAGCGTAACGCATACAGTCGTTATTGTAAGTATTGTACAAAATTTCTAAGAATAGGATTTACTACTTCCTACATATATGTATTGTAATATGAAGATGTCTTCAGCTAAAGACGAAACGTTATTGCTGATAAAATTATATACCCATGGCCATATTAAAAGTTTTATGATGGGCAATTATATTTATACTAAGAATTCGCTTTCCGCCTTGCAAATCAATTTTCACAATATTTTATAACACCACAAAAGTTAAACCTGTTGAATACATGATTCTTTCTTTGAAGCTGTTGCAAAAAGTCGTTTCCAAACTCGAAAAAACGAAAATGGCCGTTGAAGAGTTACGTTTTTTTTACAAAAATTTATATCAGTTTTACCCTAAAATATCAGCTGCTTATTCCTCAGTCAAACTTTATACTTCATTCCTCATTCATTTTTCAAAGCTGTCGGGAAAAGTCTTTCAAGAAGTCAGAAAAGATGTTGACGAAGAAACATGGCATTGCCGAAGTTTTTGTTGTACATGGTGGTTTTTTTACCAGAGGTTTGACAATTGCTGGTTTATCAAAGATCTTTACGTTAAATACATGTTATTTTTTGCTAAGCTCTTTGAAAAAGTCGTTCAAGAAGTCAGAAAAGACGTTAACGAAATGACGACCGTTACAGAATGGCATTGCGGAAATTTTCGTTGCACAAGGTCGGGTTTCTCTTGGCGAAATATTGCCTCCAATATTAGCTGCTTTTATGTCCATCGTTTTTTATCTTTACTGTTTACTGAAATAACTGCCGAAAGTTTGTGTAAGAACATATTACATGTTACATGTTCGTTCGCTGAATCCCGGCTATCGGGCTCATATAAATAGTCCCTAAAACTAAAGGGAAGTTTATGAAAGTAATCAACTGCATACATCGCCGTTGACTATAGTCTTTGCATTTTTACACATTTTCATGCCAAAGACTATATTTCAGGCAGTTTTACACAATTTCATGCCAAAGACTATAGTTTTACAAACTTTCATGCCAAAGACTATAGTTTTACAAACTTTCATGCCAGACTATACTCTTTGCATTTTTATACACTTTCACACCAAAGACTATAGTCTTTCATTTTACACACTTTCACACCAAAGACTATAGTCTTTCATTTTACACACTTTCACATTGTCGCATGGAGATTGAAAATTCTTTAAAAGGGACAACAAATAATGCCGGCTGAAAGTAGAATAATAAAATGAAAAAAATACATTGTAATAATATTTTTCTATCCGATTCATTCCTTTGATGTGTGCAAAACTAGCTGGTCAGCCTTCATTTACCATTGAAGACCTTTGTATCAGGGGCGGATCTAGAGTATGTCAAATCCGTCGCGCGACTGATGTTTGAAACTCAAAAATTACCTATTCATATTAGTTAAAAATTCATTAATTATTCTTACTTTATTATCGCATTTACTTCGTGATAAAAATCCAGCTTTATTTATTATTGAAAACTAATGACTAATGCAATGAATATCTCCTTGGTAACCAGATCAGTTGAATTTTAATTGACCTGGAATAACCGACTGATAAGCGGGGTGGCTTGCCTGGTTTGACGGATAAAGGAGTCTATGAATGCAAAAAACGCTTATTTCATTGGTCAATAGCCAGATCAGTGGACGATCTGGAATAATCTCGACCGATAAGCGGGGTGGCCGGACCTATAAGGGAGTCCACTTGCTATCGTGTAATTGGTTCGTTTAAATTTTTGTCTTACTGTGATTGGTTTGACCTATTTCGACTGATAGCCAACTGAACTAACATAGTCAAGCTCACTGTCTGAATTGAATGTTTGATCGTTTCATAATAATTTTCTAAAGCATGATAGAAACTAAACTACAATCAGATGGAATTTATGGAAATCTTTTACAAATTCATATATTGACATGAATGCTGCTTTCCAAACTGGGAATTTTTTCAAGAGGGCGAAAAATTTATGGATGAATTGTAAATGCTTGGCAAAGACGATCTCGCGAGCGACATTTCAGTCATTGATGTTCAAAAGCAAGCCAACATTGTTTTGAGTTTTATCAGCAGAAATTTACATCCAAAATCGTAAGTAAAGGACAACTGAAGTGTATGCATGAATGTAATATATCAAAGTCAATTTATGCGAGTGTGTGATGCGATTTATGTTAATATGGCTTATGGTAAGCAGATAGATGCTTCTAAAATTGTTGTTGTCGAAGGACTTTTAGCTATGATTTCTTTAGTGCTTGGGGAATCGTGACCGTTATATGGCAGCGAAATCCTACATTCCTGCAAATATATTTCAATGGACAAAAAATCTGTAGCCATAAGGCGCCATACTATTATTCTATTATTTAC